ATAAAAAAAAAATAGTGTGTTTGTAGTAGTTTCTTCTGCGGGTTGGTGGTTCTGTTGTGACTCGGTTACCCCTGAATTGCAGGGAGCGACGATGGTAGCATCTTCATTGCATAAAAGCATTGCCGTGTGTTCGCAAGAAGTCCGTAACGTTTGGCACTAGACCCCCAGTTTTCTGTCTTTTTTGGACATCACAGTGATGCCGTCATGAGCATGGAGCCTAGATGCGCGGCCCGAATCGCACGTGCCCTAGGTCTCGCTGGCTCGGAGCTCCGGAAGGCGTGAGCATCCCAGCAGGGGCTCTGGCCGCCGCCGGCGGGTCGCACTGCAGGTCCTGCCCTGAGCTTAGAGGAACAAACCGGCTCACGACGACTATCAGCGTTTTCGGGAGCGTGTGCAAACAGCACATTTCTGTCGTTTTCTCCTGGAAGGCTGCGTCTGGAAAGCCTGCAGGATTTCAGCCACACAGACGAGCTGTTTCCTGGAAGGGAGAACGCTGTAGGGGTGGAAAAACCTCGAATAAACAGGAATACGTTCCCCACATGCTTCTGGACTGTGTCAGGTGGGGTGCGATCCCATTGCCAAGCTGGGAAGAGCTGGTAACGCTTCTCTCTCTCTCTCTCTCTCTCTCTCTCTCTCTCTCTCTCTCTCTCGCTGCTGAGTTAATACACCTTCACGCATGAGGGATGTACACAGATTCGCCAGGGCCTCAGTGCTGGTCTCTGAGGTTGGCCACAAAGAGTCGGTGCCTGCGTAATTCATCCGTTGCCAGGTGACGCTGTTCCTGCACAGTTACTACCCTGGGTGGGCCCGGGCTGTGGCTCACGGGGAGCCGGAGTCGTGGGAGCAACCAGGGCGAGGCCTGGCTGGAGCCGGAGGGCTGCGGAGGCAGAGAGGAACTCGGGGCCAGGGAGCAAAGGGTCACATCACTGCTGTAGGTAGAAGCAGAAGACTCAGAGCCTGCAGACCCCAGCCAGGTGTCTAGAGAGCGTAGACATTTTGCAGCCTCCACGGACCACGGCAGGATCCAGCATGTTTGTTTAGAAAATCAGACAAAAAAATAGCGATTCCTTAAGGAGCCTGGTCTGACCACTGTTTCAAACTGTAATTTGTACCTCATCTCCGGCCACCCCATCTCCTTTTCCTGTATGATACAGTGTGTAGTTTACTCACGTATTGTGTTCATTTTCTGCTTCCATACCGTGAGCTCCTTGGGAGACGTAATTCTTTAAAAATTTTTTTTTATCCTCACCCAAGGACATTTTTTTTTTTTTTTGCATTTATCTTCAGATAAAGTGGGAGGAAGAGAGAGAAACATCGACGTGAGAGAGACAAATGGACTGGTCGCCACCCACACAACCCCAACCCGGGGCTGGGGACAAACTTCAACCAAGGTACATGCCCTTAGCGGAAACCGAACCCAGGTCTCTTTGGTCCGCGGGCCGACGCTCTAACGGCTGAGCCAAACCGGCCAGGGTGGGAGACACGATTCCTGACAGTTGCATTCTCCATGTCAGAACCAGCCTCGGTACGCAGTAGGTGCTCAATTAACGCATGTCGACTGAGTGGCTGGATATACTCTATGCACCCCAAGATCCAAGAAGGACTTGGGCACCCTGTAGTTTTGGATATCCCCTTCCACCACTTTGGTCAAACGACACACTTACTTGAACTTCATTGGAGAGGTCCAGATGCCTTTTCTCGGCCAGGGAGACGCTCATGAGTGGTGCAGAGGCTGTGGTTAGCGTCACGGTGCAAATTCCTGGGCCTGCAGGGGCCTGAAAGTGTGTCCTTCCTAAACCCGGAGTTCCCTCCGGGGAACGGCAGCAGCCCCGGGAGAGAACCCCAGACAGTCCCCCGGAAAACACCCCGCTGCCCGGTGATCCTCACCCAGAGCGTGTCCTGTCACCACCAGGACGCTCACGGTCCTCACTGCCTTCCCGCCGATGGCCTTGGTGGGGACAGATGAACCCTGAGCGCTGTGACGAGACCAGGGGGAGCCGAGTGGGGTGGGGAGCTAGCAGCCTAGCCCGGCTTGAGCTGACCGTCCATCTGGTGGTTTTTGTGTGTGTTTTTTCTTTAACCCACATAGCCCTGTTCATGGAATACAATTTCCATTGTCTCCTGAGGTATTTTAAGGGAGTTATTTCCATGGGACCTTTTGCTAACTGAGGCTGTTTCCAGCTTACTTCAAGGTCCTGGAAAATGGACTCAAGTAAAATCCTTGGGGTGGGGGTGGGCTCCAGAGAAAGAGGGCCCGTGCTGTGGGTATTGATTGGCGGGGGGGCTGCCTGTCCTCCGCCCGTTCAGAGGAGTTTTTAAAGAACCCCTGGGGGACGGCGGCACAGTTTTCGGCCGGAGTGTTTGGTCTTCCCGTGGGGGGGGGGATGTTCAGACCGGCGTCCTGCAGGGCTCGGTGCAGGAGGGGGGCAGCCTCCGCTGGTCTCTGTGGGAAGAAAAGTCATTGTTGAATGTCTGCGCCCACAGACGGCTCAGTGGTGTCCAGAAGGGCAAGGACTCCATCTTCAGGGTTTGTCCTTCCAGGGAACAGACGGAGAAGTCTGTTCCTGTGAGGTCTTGTCACTGAGCCCTGCTGGCCGGTGCTGATTCAAGGTGTGTGTGTGGTGTGTGTGTGTGTGTGTGTGTGTGTGTAGGAGGGAAGGGGAGAGAAAGAAAATTCGAGCGAGAATGTGTGTTTAGTGGCAGACAGAAGAACAGTGCTGTGCAGGACGTTTGTTAGATCCAGGTGCCAGGTTGCCAAAGAGTCTGAGTGTGGTAAGTTCAAGGCAAGACCGTCTGGGTAGCAGCTCGTTCTGAACACGTGTACCCCCGAGGCACCCACCACCCCTCGGCTCGGGGGGGCCTCAGAGGGGTCGCTGCTCATGTTTCTATTGGAAATGGGACTCAGGGCAAAGCCAGCGTGGGAACTGGGAAATCACATGGTATTCTGGCTGAGGGATCCGCCCAGGGTTATTCAAATGTTCGGTCCTTTGGCCCAGTAGTGTCTGGAGAACATATTAGTTAGCTGATGGGAGATAGAGAAGACAAACCTTCAATCCCTAGTCTTCATTTTTATTTTTTTAATTTTTTAAAAAATATATTTTTATTGATTTTTTTTTTTTTTAGAGAGAGAGAGAGAGGAAGGGAGAGAGAGACAGAAACATCAATGTGAGAGAGAAACATCGATCGGCTGCCTCCCACACGCCCCCTACTGGGGATCGAGCCTGCAACCCGGGCATGTGTCCTGACCGGGAATCGAACCGGGACCTCAGTCCATGGGATGATGCTCCATCCACTGAGCCACACTGGCCGGGCATATAGCCTTCATTTTTAAAAACTCAGGGAAAAAATGTGAAAAGAAATGTTCTTTCAGCCCACCTTTGCAACCCCACCAAAGGAAATGCATTTTGTGTATAATCAGAAAGTTTCGGGGACACCTAAGACTTTGAAAAGTCTTGGAATGATGACATTTTATTGGAAAAACCAAAGTGATCTGGAATTTATTTATTTTTTTAATCCTCACCCAAGGATATATTTTTATTGATTTTACACAGAGAGGAAGGGGGGGGGGAAGGGGGAAACATCGGTGTGGGAGATAAGCGTCGATCGGTTGTCTCTTGTACCCACCCAGAAGTGACTGCCTCACTTTTGATGCACATTGGATCCCCTTCCCTACTGTATGCTTCTCCCCTTCTCTCCTTTCATTGTATCAGCCAAACCTGTGCCCAGCCTCGATAGGCGTCCTCTGTCACTTACGGGGTGCAGGTCGAGCCCTGGGTCTCTGAAATGTTGTCTTTGAATCGCCGCCCCATATTCACTTTCTCCCGCCAGAGTCAAAGCCTTCCTCCAGAGGGGGGACACCTGCACCCCCACGCTCGGATCACACTTCCTAGTCCGGCCTCTCTCCCCCTCCCTGTCCTACAACTCCCGCTTCCTAAGGACCCTGACCTCTCTGGTCGCCTCGTCCTGTGAGGAGTGACCCGCTGCCCAGCCTCCCGACATTCAGGAGGTCACCTCCATCCGGGTGAGAATGTCAGTGCGTGGCCTTTGCTGCCCGTTGGCCTGGCGCTTGCTTTCTGAAGCCGGGGGCGAGCTCAGCCGCGGCTCCTCAGGGAGGCCCGGTTTCCGTGAGGCTGCCTTCCATGGAGCGGCAGGGAGGGAAGGACACGGAACGGAGGTGACCTCTCACTCAGAACGGGCAGTCTGTGTGTCCCCAGGAGAGTGACCCCGGCTGCCTGTGTCTAGGTTTCTTCCCGCCTTTTGGGGGAGCTGGGGCAGGACGGGGCCGTTTTCACAGTTCTTAGCTCACAGTAGGTGCTCAGTAAACTAGAATGTTCTTCTTTCCCAGCTTTCTTGCCCAAGGACGTCCTTCGACTCTGTGTGTCTGCCTGCTGGAGCTGCTGCAGGAGGCTGGGGTCCCACCGCCTCTCAGAGGCCTTCTGATGCCCATTCTGTGACGCAGAGGCTCACTCTGCGCCGGCTCCCGAATTCAGCGGAGAATGCGTGTGTGTTCACGCAGGGAGGACGAGAGTGAGAGAGGGCGATGGGAAAGGTGTCGGTGGTCAGGGCACCTCATGCTCAGCTGGGGAGCGGTGCACCTCTTCAGGCTCAGGTGGTATCTGTGAGCTTGCTGGATGCTCTCAGACCCCTGCTGCCTTGGGAGAGGGTGAGCTCCCCATCACTAAGAGCACTCAAGTAGAGGCTGCAGGGCATGAGAGCAGGATTGCTGAGGCAGACAGCCCCTCCCTCCCCAGAAGGCGGCGTAACGGGAAAACCGCCACGGAATGTGAGCAAGTTGACGACGCGGTGACGGAGTCGCTGGCAGGTGTGGGACGGGCGGCAGGCATCAGAGAATAAAGACTGCCCGTGCCAGTGTGAGCGGAGCAGGGCGAGCTGATCCCGGCTGCCTCCACCGAGACGCCTGGTGGGTCTCACCTTGGCCTTTGCCAAGAGAGGGCACGTCTACTGGGGCCGCACTGGTGACAAGCGATCTTGCCTTTCAGACCACAGCGGAGACGTCTCCGGGAGCCTATTTTCTGCCCGAGTTTGCACTGTCCCCCCAGGGAAGTTTTCTGGAAGATACAACAGGGGAGCAGTTCCTCACCTATCGCTATGACGACCAGGTAAGAGCCTCCTTTAGCTTTGCTGTTTGCCAAAGGGCAGGAAACAGTTTCTCAAGAAATGACTTCCAGAGAGTTCTGTTTTCCCGATTCTATCGGCACAACCGATCCAGTATACCCTGGACACCCCAGGTGGGTCCCAACATGCTGCATGTACTCTCCCACACAGCGCATGGTTCTCACGCTGTTTAGGGCCTTGAGTTGAGAGTCACTGTTTCTTGTTTTTGACAGAGCTGTATGCCGGATTCATTTATTTTATCGACCACTAAATGGATGACTCGCTACTGAAATTATCCAAAAATGCTGTTTTTTGATTCAGCGTACCTTTCTTTGACCTCTGAGCTTTGACTAGCACCAAAGTTGTTTTTTTTTGTACCAAGCTTGCTTTCCAAAGAGGAACAAAGTAGGCATGCCTGTGTGTGCACATGTGCGTGTGCGAGCGTGTGCATATGTGCACAACTATGTACATGTGCACATGCATGGGAATCTGTGCACATGTGACTACATGTGTACGCACATGTGCACATGTGAGTGCACGTGTGTGTGAACATGAGCAACTGTGCACATGTGTGTATATGAGCGTGTGCATGTGTGTGAGCATGTGCACGTGTGGGTGCATGTGCATGTGTGTGTATGTGAGCATGTGCATGCGTGTGACTACGTGTGAATGTGTTGCACACGTGTGTATGTGAACATGTGCACGTGTTTAAATCACTTCACGAAGGCCAGCTGAATAAGGCTGCGTGTGGTGAGGTGTGGGCACTGGGCACTCAGGACCCTGATTCCTTTCTCCTCACAATTTACGTTGATGTCTGAACGTCGCCGCAGACCATACGTGTCTTTGAAGTCACTCACAACTCAACGTTGCCCGACACAGAGGTTTCTAGCAGGTAGGGCCTGAATTCATGGGGCAGAGGAGCCAGCGGACGTGGGATTTAAGGTGACGAGGGACTGTGATGGGTCTGGTGCACCTTGGCACCAACAGGGACGAGTGCGGTGAGGCTGGAAGACCTCCCAGCCCACGGCAGGTGCAGGGAGATGGCCCCGGGACCGAGGTCAAGGCCCACAAGTCCGGCTTGAGGGGCAGGGCTGGCGGGGAGGAAGGTATTTCTCAGCAGGAGCAGCTCCAGGAGTCCGTCAGCCCGCGGCAGGCGTGAGGGCGGGGAGAGGGCCCGGCTGCGGGACCGGCTGGCGCTGGCGGAGTGCGGGAACCCAGGTGGGGAGCAGTGTTCCGTCCGGGGCAGGACAGGCTGATGAAGAACCAAGCCGATCAGGCCGGTGGAGGCGTCTGCTGCCTGGTACCCTGCGTCCCAGTGGGGGGGGAGGGGGGCGCTCCATTAGTTTTATCCTCCAGGCTGCTGCTGAATGAGCTCGGAGTGGGGTTGGGGTGAGAGGCAGCTGTGAACCCAGCTGTGGACAGGGAGTTACCCAGGTAGTCGGGGGCAGGGGCGGGAGGAAACCAATATTTTATAAACAATTTCAGCATTCCATCATTTTTTCAAATTGCTTGAAAAGCAAGTGTGTGCATAGTTATTGTGGGCACAGGGGTCGGGGGTGAGCTGTCTTCACGAGGAGCTTGGGGCACGGACTCGGGCCCGTGCCGCCTCTGCCCTTCACCACCGAGGTTGAGGGGCCCGTGTCTTGCGGCTCCTCTGAATCGCGACCTCGGCGACTCGGGTTTTATGTGTGGACTTCAGGGGAGCTAACTGAGGTAAGAGGGCGTCTGGAAAATGACGCACCACGTGTTTCGTGATGAAAGAGCGGTTCCTGCCGTCTCCCAGGTCCTACAGCTCTGCTGTGTTTACTATAATAACAATATAAAAGCTAGAAAAAGAGTGGCAAGAATAAGCCCTTCGGTCTTTTCAAAAGGCCCAAAGCAGACCGTGGAAGTGTGTGGCGCCCTAGGACAGGGCGCTCCCGAGCCCGGGGGGCGGCGTGTGCAAAGTGGTGCTGCCCCCACTGGGTGCGTCTTTGAAGGGACAGGAATAAGGGCAAACGGGCACACGCCAGTAACAGCACCCTGCTCCGTGCTGCTAAGGGTGGCGGAAACGGCTCGTGTGCCAGACGAGCGCATCTCCGGAACATCCCCGAGAACATGCGTGAGAGACTGCTAGCCCACCTCCCCGGGTCTTGACTCTCTCACGGCCCAGTGTTCAGACTGCATCGCGGTGTCGGGACGCACTGGACAAAAACGGACCCCGCTGGGAACTTCCCCTCCTGCAGCCCACGGTACAGCGCTCAGACTAGCGAAGAATGCAGGCTTGGCGTCGCTGCGTTAGGGTCGCATCCCAGGTCCTACACCTGACTTGCTGTGTGAGTTTTTGGACAAGTTACTTCTCTGTGCTTCAGTTGCCTTGTCTGAGCAATGGAGATAGGGACGGGTTTCACCTCCTGGAAATGTTTTAAGGATTAAAGGAGATAATTCAATGTAATGCCTATGTCCCCCCGCACGGGGGCCTGGTGCCTATAGGCACTTAAAGTAGCTGCTGTTACTGCTAATGATATCTTTGCAAAGACTCAATTCAGGGAATCTCAGTTATCCTTATGCTAAAGCAAATGAAGAAACATATTCTCCATGTCCATCGCAAAGTATTTTAAATGACATTTTTATTGAGGTATGACATGTAAACAGCAAAGTACACACATGGCTGACGTGTAGAACTTGCTGAGTTTTCAGATCTCTTTATACCTGCGTAACCACCACCCAGATCAAGAAATGGACTGTTTCTAGGCCTCCCCACCCCCGAAGCTTCTTGTGCCGGGACGCCACACCACCCCTACAATGCAGCCGGCGTTCTGACGTCTGTCACTGTTACAGACTGGTTTTCTATTTTTGTTTTCCATTTTATAGAAATGGAAACCGTTCAGCACATACTCCTTGGTGTCTGGCTTCTTTCGCACATCATTATGTCTGAGATTCAACCCAGTTGTTGGATCCAGCATAATCCAGGGTTTAGTGTCTGTCGGTTGTATTCATTGGAGCAGATGGTCTCATGTTGGAACAAACTGCAGCGTATTAGGTGGCATGCAGCATTGTCCCCTCACGGGGCTTCCCAGGTTGTCCCTACAAGGTGTTCAGGACGGTCCCGCTGAAGATGCCATCCTATGGGAGTTGTGGGGCTGTCTGTGACACTCGTCTGATAAAATGGGAAGCGGCGGGTGGTGTGTAGATCTTTGCTGTCTTCGACAAGCCTCGGAGGACTTCTTCACGTCTTTTATCCTGGCGAATTTTCATGAAGACCTCCAGGTCACTCTTGAAATGTCTTCGGGATTAGGTGTCTGGAGAAGGAATAACCCGGAGGCCCGTAATGCACAGCCGTGACGTGGGCTGTGTTTAACGAGTCGCACGAAGGGCACAGTGTGGATTCTACAGGGGCTGAGCCAGCTGGGGAATGGGCAGGTCGGTGCAAGCAGCCCTCGACTCCATTCTGCCACTGATTAGCTTGTCATTTCAACAGCTTCTTCCGCATCTCTGACCTCAGCTTCTTGATCTGTTTTGAAAGACACAGTGGCTGGATTTCACGACCCAAACCCCTTCCCCTCTTTTTCGAGACCATAAATAGAATATTCTGCATTTTGGAGCATTCATTGGATTGTTCTGATGACGGAGGTGGTCTTGCCAGCGACACCGTGAACAATTGCTTAGGGGATCGTAGAATTTTACAGCTGGTAGAGATGGGCACAGATGCCTTGTGTTACAAGTCAAGAGAACAGAGGTACTGAATATGCAAATAACTTAGGGACACCCAGATGGTCATGTGAAAAAAACCATCACCCTCCAAACCCTAGGCTCCCTACTCTGAGATCTGTCCGGTCACCTGACTCAGAAGACTCGCCCAAAAAATGATCTCGGTTCCTAAAAATGTTGATTCCACTATTCTGGTCAATAGAACTTTGCAGACCTTAGTCAACCACACGGAGTGAAATGGCTGTTTCATCAGCTCACTCTTAAGCTCCTTCCGGAATTTGGAATCAGTTACGCTGATAGCATCTATAAGCGTCATTATTATCACCTGGAAATGACATTCGTTTCAGTGTCTGAGGGCAACATTGTAGCTGGAATAAAACTGACCCGAACTTCCCATTTGGTGAGTGTGTCCTTGGGATGAAAACCTCCCGACATTTGGTTACAGTAGTTGTGTGCGATTGTTAAAATGTGTTAGTTTGTGATGACTCACTCAAGTCCTCGTGGTGGAAAGACTTGTCGGTAAGCCAGGCTCTGGGGTAGATTCCTTTGTCCTTCCTCATGGTGGTTTTGGCATCTGCTCTGCAGGGGACCTGTTCCCAGGCGGACAGCTAACGGCCGGCTGGTTCTAGGCAGGGGAGTCCTGAGCTCTCCACTTTCTCCCGTCGCTGACGAAGAGCTGCCTTGGTCTCTCTCTGGGAAGGAGGAGGGTCATTCTTCCCACCTTACCTTCCACTCACGGAAGCTTTAAATGTGGGACCTCGTAAGTTATTATGGGGACCAACTTCAAAGTCTGTTCCAGGCTTAGCGTGTCATAGTTGGAAGTCATTAGAAAACAAGTTCGAGAAACTCTGTTTTGCATGACTATTCTTTTAGTTTTGTGTTTATTTATTTACTTAGCATTTGTTAGGCTCAGGGAAATGTGGAAGGTGTGTCTTCCCAGACCTTGTGGGCCGGCTGGAATGTGTCCCTTGTGGGCGGGCACTGTGGGACAACGGGGGTTAGACACACTTTGAAATGAGTGACTGCGTACAGTTTTTTAATGGTCCATGGGTTGTCTTTATGTGTGTACATGTTGGTGGATGTTTCCCTTTCCACCCTTAGGGTGCGAGGCACCAAGAGGCAGAAAACACTTTAATAATTGGATTCTAGGCTCGCAGGACCAGACTGAGTGTTCGGTTAGCCGTGGGCTCTGACCTTCCTAAAAGTAGCCTCGGGGAAATTCTCACGTGAGCATGAAGCCGTTCAGAAGAGAACCTCCTTGATTTCATGTCACAGGGTCCTTTTTGCTCCTGTGCACACCCATCATCCCTGGTCC